ATAGAGAACCAGGTTGACACATCAATATCGTATGCATTCATGTCTGCAGAGAAGCATCGCAGAGAGATTCATCGATTAAACTATGAAGAAACCAAAAACCAAAATAAAATACACACTCAGAGAAAAGGATTTTCTTCACTGTTTGTTATTCCTTTGCAAAAGACTGCATTGGAGATAAAAAAAAAACAGAAAATACAGAAAATATACAAGTTTTTCGTCATACCGAAGTAAGGAACTTCCCAGCCCATCCAGTGCTTTCCGACTCCACCGAAAATGAAGCAAAGCGAACCTGAAACGGAGGCTGAATGTCTGCCGAGAGAAGAACAAAAAACACAGAAACCCCAACTTATAAGTGAATTATTTTGATAGTTTTTTATTTCTTTTTCGGATAAGTACCCTCAGGTGTTGCACTAGTTGAGAAACACGAAACAAACAACAAATACAGATATAGGAACATGCCAGTGGCGTTGCGTCTGTCAGCTGTGATAGAAAGGAGGGATAGAAGGGAAAGCTGCAAAATGACTAGGATCAGGTGAAAAGGAATAATTAGGAATTATATTGTTTGAGGAAGAGGAAACAGCAGCAAACGCAGCAGCAGCAACACACCCATGGCGCGTCGCCGGTGGTGTTCCGGCGGCGTCTTGTATACGGTGCCATGAAGGGTTTTTCGATGCAAGACGAAGAGCCCAAAGGTCATTTGTTCCAGCTCCATCTACCAGCCCACCAAAAAGCAGCAGATGTTCTCCTGTTGTAACCCCATCAACAACACTGAGGGTGTGTTGTGTTCTTGGGGGGGGCTCGTCTAGATCATCTATCAGTACCCACTCTTCTGCATCAATAAAATAGATACACAGCACAAACAAAATAACAAAAACTTTATTAAAATAATATTTTACAAATGGAATAAATATACCTAGTAGTATTCAATTTGAATCAATGGCAAACAGCCGCACATGCACGAACTCAAAGCTGCTGAACACAGCAACAAAAGAAACACCAGCGATAGCAGGGAAAGCAATAGAAGCATAAACTAATGCTACAGTAACAGTCCAAACACGGGCGTTTTAAATTGCATTCAAAATGCAGATGAAACAAACACAGAAAGACGAATGAAAAAAAGACAGAAAAAGAATGATGAAGGAAGAAGAGACAATAAGAGAAATTAAACAAAAAGAAAAAAAGAAGAAAGAGAGGGGAGAGGAAAGAAGAAGAAGAAATAACAACAATCACTGTCACGATGCACAGTTCATAAGAAAGCTGTTCTGCTTTTTGCAACAAATTCAAGTCAGTTGCACTGC